AGACTTTAAACCTGAAAACATTATCACATACAGGGCATTGATCCACACACTGTGGGAACTAGGGAGACCCGGAGAGATCCCTCCTGACAAGAAGCAGATGATCAGTATTATAGGTACATTAATACATTTTCTTAAAATACATTAACTTTTTTCTTAACTATGTATTTTCTTTCTCTTCTTTTTGAGGTGATGTGGAGAGGAATGTTCACAAGCTTCATATCTTGGCCACTTGTCTAAAACTTGACGACGCTCCGTATCACAAGGACATCCACTTAGCGCTGCCAAAGCCGCCACTCACGCCGTTACAGCCAAATGCAAAGGCTGGGGAGGCGCTCAGTAGCCTTCTGGGAGAAGGATACTTCTCAAAAAGTGTGCAGTTGCCACATAATTATTATATTGGTATGGGACTTTATATGATTTTCTTCTCTTTTATTTTCTTTTTTTTCCGACAAAAGAGCAGGAGTTCCGTGCGGCAGTTAAGCGCAGCGCAGCTCTGGCTCTGGAGCTGGACTGCCTGAGGTTGGATTTTCTGTCTACTACTTACCAGCGCTGTGCTTTGGGCACTTACCAGCCTCTGTTTCCTTGTCTGTAAAATGGCAGTAATAATGGTACCCACCTCACAGGGCTCCTGTGATGCACAAGCGAGCTTCTACACACAAAATCCAGACTAGTTCTACACACAAAATCCAGACTAGTATCTGGCGCGTGGTGAGTAAGCTCGAAGTGTATCTTAGCTGCTGCCATTATCATTACTGGTCTTCCCAGTATTTTGAAACAAAATATCACTCTGAGCAATATTTGAAAAATTAATATCAATTCTTTTCTTTCAGATTTCGAAATCAGAATGGATACTAACAGGAGCCAAGTGCTTCCATTTTCTGACGCGGATGTGGTAACTTCTGCTACAGATATTCAGAGGTTATTTACATATACTCATTTGCTGAGCTTTCCAGATTTAAATTTTAATTCTCAAAGACTTTATACTAAATTGCAGTAACAATACTAAGACCTTATATTTATATGGGACTTGTAATGCACCATGAGACTTCTCATCCTTTAATCTACTCTGTAGGTATAAATGTGGGCACTGTGGTTGAAGACAGTGGATTGGAGTTGGCCATTTAATGAAACAGGCTGTTTTTAAAAATTAGGTTTTAAAACTAAACAGTTCAGTAAAACAATGTTGACATAATTGAAACCAACAGTGCAGTGTAAACTTTTGACAAGATAACGCTGTAGTGATCGCAAAGAATTAAGGCTTCTACCAAAATCAAATATCTGGTAAATATCCTGCTCTACCACCAAACCTTTCTAAAGATACAGAAACTTTAGTTGTTTTTAATTAAGCTGTATTGCATATGGGTCAAACCATATCGAAGTTAATTAGAAACAGTTTCCTTGACTCACACACTACAAGAAGGTGTCTCTGGGAGACATACAGTGCTGCACCCTGAGGGTGTTCTGCCTTTTAGGCAGACGGAAT